ATGTAGTAGATAGAGTACTGGCCCCGGAGTCAGAAGGACCTCAGTTCAAATCCAGCCTCAGACACATAACACTCACTAGCTGTGTGACCCTGGGCAAGTTACTTAATCCCAATTGCCTCACCAAAAACAAAACAAAACAAAACAAAACAAAACAAAACAAAACAAAAACAAAACAAAACAAAACAAAACAAAACAAAACAAAACAAAACAAACAAAACACTGAAATCCAGTGTGGTTAAATGTTTTTGCCCAGTCAAACAAAGAGATTAAGTGGCAGAACTGGGATTTGAACCCAGGTCTTTTGATTCTGTGGGATCCCGATTGGTGAAAGCCATAATACATTGTAAAAAGTGAAAGCCATAAACTTAAACTCTGTGAAAGGTGGAAGCTTGGACATATTGACTTGTTAAAAATCATAATTCAGACATTGAGTCATAGCTTAGATACCTTGACCAGCACATGACTGGTACATGATCAGTACCCAACCTTGAGTGCCTGAGCATTTATCCAACAGTGCTGGGTAAACACCTAGACGTCTGGGAACCAGGTTCAATATAATGTATAAACTAAAATGTTAGCCAAAGTATTAACCAAGCAGAAAAAGCCAAAATATCCACCAATCCAAAGTGAAGCACCATATGGCTCCTCCTCCCTTTGTCTGATTTCTATAATCACCATGGGGATTTTGGGGGGTCTTTGCAGGAATCCACTGAATCATCTGGCAGCTACCCCAGATTGCCCTTGTTTGTAAGTATTCATAATGATTGATTAAAATCCCATAATCAATCTGGAGCCTCTTGGTCTCTTCCTTTGGTGTCAAAATCACTCCACGGTTATGGGGGAGGTACAGGGTTCTCCAGCCAGGGGAATTCTGGATCTTACAGATTCCAAACCCAGATTGCACCATTTTCATTGTACCACCCTGCCTCCCCAGGTGTGAGCCATAATCATTGAACTTGACTTCTCTACAGATGTTGATGCCTCACCCCATACTTGCCTGCTCCACTAAAGATGACAATAATAATTGTGACTGTCAGTAGAATCTACCTGCTTGGCTAAATGATCTGTTTAAATGACTATGATTTCTTATTTGTCTTTTGAGATCCATCCAGCATTCA